GTCATCGCAGTTTGACAGACACGTGTTAGCCAGCACATGCCTTGTTCGCCTAATGCCTTGAGCATTTCATTTTTGTTATTATTATTATTATTATTATTATTATTATTATTATTATTATTATTATTGCCTCTTGTCTTTTCCACGCTTTCGACTGCTGAAGTGCTCTTCTCTTCGTGATATGTATGGATACGACTCCAGTGTTTTTGGTTCGGCACGGCTGTTTCCAGTCTGAAAAATCTGATCCTCTATTGACGTGAAAATTATGCGAGTACGGCATCGGCACAACAGAAGCTTTCAGGCATGGCAACAGAAGAACGTGCCAGAGATCGCAAGCTGGCAGAAAATTTGCTCACCACTTATTGTCTGAGAAAATTCAGTTACCGTTAGTTCTTTCTGCCATCTGCTGGTCAATCTTCAAGAAAGTGACCGAGGTGCGCGAGCTTCTGAATGATTGCCATTTCCGCTACAACAGTGTCGCTGTGGTGAAAGAAACGTGGATGAACGTTATCATGGACGACAACTAACTCGGTATCGAGGGCTTTAAAATGTTCTGTTTCGACAAACTTTTAGCCGTAGTGGGGGAATTATTACATGGATAAATTATAACTGATTCGACATCCTGTCGTCCGCTGCTCATTTTTCGACTCGTTTTTCAATGGCATATCAGAGGCCGCCCAAAATTATTGGAATTGTTTGAATATGCCCTACTCTGTAATATCTGCATCAACCCGGACTTCCTGTCGATTTCTTCCAGTTGTTCAGCGATGCATTCGCACATCAGTTTGCAGTTAAGCCTGCTGAAAATCTTGTGATTGCAGCCGCTGCTATGAATAGGCGCTGCCTGGACTTCCTCATTAACATTTGTCTCAAAGAGGCTGTGAACTTTACCTCCCGCTCTGTTGACCAGTGCAACACCCAACTGGATCATTTACTTGTAAATGAAAACGTGAAGCTGTTCATCAGTAGATGTGCACTATTAAATAGTTCAAATCATTTCATCATCTAAATTTTCAGCAGTTCGAAAAAAAGGCTCATGGATCCCACTAACATTTAGAAAGTTAAGAAAACGAAGTTTCGAACCATGAAACTTAGACCAGATGCGGTATTTCTTCGAAGCAACCGACTGGGACATTTTGACAGAGAACGATATCAGTTCTCACACAAAGGACTTAACGGACTACCTCAAATTTGTTTACGACTTGTGTTGTCCCGTAGAACATTTCGGAAGAACAAACCGAGGCATGACATCAAGAGAATTCTCGTTTGCTTCGCCTCTAAGTGCAGGCATATAGGGATAATAACTGGCCAGAAGTAAAGCGCCTGAAAGTCTGCATTCGGCAGAAGCTATTCAAGATCGATGGGAAATTCTCAGTAAACACAGTCAATGTCAACACATCATCTGTAAAAAGCATTTAGAGAAATCAGCGGGTGCAAACACTGCAGCCCTTTCCACGGCAACTTTACCACGCTCGACAAGCTAAACCGTCATTTCTTAAGGTTTGAAAATGGCAAAAGTGTCAAAATATTTCCATAAGATTTTGCTCAAGCTGGATCACAGGAGATGAGCAACCGCGGTTTTCCTAGAAGAAAGTTCATCGTCATCTCTCTCAACTGCGTAGAAATGTATCTCTAGTCCACGATGGAGTAATGGCCATACTACGGAAAGTTTTTGCTGCGGAACTCAGTACGCCATTTACCCGCTTATACAGCAAGTCACTGAAGCTAAGAATGGTATCAGATTTATGGTGCATCGTCAGAATCTTGTCTCCCAGTAGTTGCAAACCCCACCTCGCTGAATGACTACAGACCAGTTATCTCTCAGTCGGTATCCCTGGAAGTTATGAAATAACTCATTCACAGTGTTCTGCACGAAAAGATTGTGCCCCATTAGATATCAGGCACAGATCAGATAGCGCAGCACCGGGATGCCTTCACTTTGTTTACTGATAGAGTGATGAAAGGTCTAAATGGTGGAAAGTGACGGATAGCGATAGTTTTTTCGACCTCTCTCTTCGACGTGCAGTACGATGCTGTGGGAGAGTGCTGGATTTATTAGAGACGCTACCCGTATAACGAAACCTTCTCGCCTGGATTATCTAAACTAGACAGTGATCTTATTAGCTATTTAGCACATTGCTAGTTTACGATACCGCCGTTAAGAAAAATAACATTTTTCTTTTACTACCTCATCTACACGGCGTACAGGCATCATCCGCTTGCGTCTATCGGCCTTGATGACTATTTAAGCAGGTTAAGGCTCTGTGGTATTTAAGCACCTGCCAATCGGGCAGGGAAAATGTTTCTTTTTCTTAGCGGCGGTATCGAAAACTTGCAGTATGCTAGTAAATCGATAAGGCTGGTGTTTATTATTATGTATGAATATACCTACGGATAATGGCATATCAGCA